TTTTATGACATCTCACTTATTTTTTTGTCTCCATTAAAAAGGATATGTTAGACCAGCTGGGAACTGCACTGACACCCTCTCTGTTTCAATACTTTCACTCAGAAAACTTTGTCAGAGGAAAATCTAGGGAAAGTTTCTATTACAGGGAATAGTCCATTTTATAGTATAGGCTTTTTTTTCTTTATAGCTAGATAATTCCTCCCAAAGAGTTACAAAGGCATCATTCACCCATGACATACTGAAACAGCATCTATCTAGCTATCCTCTCCAGTCCTCCTATTCAGCTCTGAGCAGACTTGTTTAAGCTGCATTTACTTTAACAGGTAAATAATTACAATCTTCTGCACCATTGAAATAGCCCAAGGACATTAGCTGCATGCTGCAGACTAAAATTAACCATGACACTTCAGCTGCACGGTATATTTTAAAATCATTTCCAAATGTTTAGCATCTCGGTTGGGAAATTTTATTAAACTAATTTATATTCATTTCCAAGTCCAAAATGGAACAAACAAAAAGAGAGAAAGACAGAGAGACAAGGGAAAGTTATGTAAGCAATAAATAACATCAATTTCTTGTATGTAGCTTTCTCATCTGAAGTCTTTGCATTATATCAATCAGATCTTCTTACCTGGTACATTTGCAAATTGAGCTTACCTTGGAATTTCACTTTACCACATTGCTTAAGAACCAGCTAATGATGTGGCCTACAAACAGTGGTCCTGAGCATTATATACTGCCCAGACTCAGTTTCTTATCATTTTGCCACATTTCAGCCTTTCAGACTGAAATTTCATTTCTTAGGTGTTTGCCTCAACCTTATTTAGGGATGGAGAATTCAGATGTGTCAGAGAAAGGGATGTATTAGACAAAACAATGTTTTTCCCATGTTAAAAAAGAAATAATCTTCTAATTGGTGTGGGGGGGCATTGCCCAGTTCTAGACATAAAATTTGTTTGAAAGAGATATCTCTCTTGCAGTCTCTGAAAGCTCTGGTGGCTCTCTGGGCTGCAGCTCTACAGGTTGCCAGTAGTTGTAGCATTGCCATGTCTGGGATGGCTGTGCCATGGGCACTCAGCTAAGCAGTGCCCATGGTCTCAAGCCACGAGAAATATATATGTGTTGCCTAGCCTGGATTAGTGAGGAAAAAAATAGGAGGTAATTTAGTAGCTGGGCACCTTGGAAAGGAAGATTAGGATTGGGTGGGATGGATGTGGAACAAAAGAAAAAGGGACCTATGTCTAAGCA